CGTGTAAGGGCTTATGGTGTTTGGCAGGGATTTATCTATTCTCTAGAGGTCATCTGGCCGACTTGGAGTATGCGGGTGAATACACTGACAAAATGTAGGCTTTTCTGAACGCGCTGAGCAGAAATCCGTGTATGTTTGTCATGCGTTTCACTGGCATCTGTTAGATGTAAAGTGATACTCGAAGACTGGTATGACGTAAGTACTCTCAGTTTAATGATAGGGAGTGGAGTGGTGAAATGTGTCGACCACTCCACTTACTTGAGGAGTTGCATCAGTACGAACGGACTGGTTGCTGATGAAATATCATATCGGATACAGAAGACCAACTTGGGTCACCCTTGACGTCGGTGGGATATTCGACTATCTACTGCCCTGCAGTTCTTTCTATCCAGTGGTATGGCTGTTAGACATGACCGTTAAAAGTAGGAGACATGAAACAGTTACAGTTTTTCGATCATTGATGTCTTCGTAGCATTACTGACGTGTGGTGGAATCAACGTGTGAACAGTGTTTAGGAAGGCCGAAAGATACTAGGCAAGATAGGGGAGTCGACTGACGAGGTTGTGAACGTTAGTCAGCTGAGATAGTTTGGACATATACTGCTCATGCCGAGCCACTACATACTTCGACGTGCAATACTACGGAAATTTGGAATAGGCTGGAAGATGATTCAAGTTGACTAGACCTATCACCACTAGATGATTTCCGTGACTGTTGACTTGAGCCACGGGAGAAGACGTAGACTGCCTGGTTGGAGTCCCCGAAACGAAAGGAATCAGTGTTTGAGGAAACTTAGTGACATGGCTGGAAATCGGTCATGGTGATGCAGATGTACTCATTCATTGACGTTTTCTAAATCTTGAATATTTTCCTTAGCCTTCATCTTCAGACTGTCTATTCTCCCATACATATTTGTCTAGTTTGAAATCGTTCCTTTTCTATCCATCTGTTATTTGTCTACTTCTGTGAATTGTGGCAAATTGAGCCGATGCACTTGTGTGCATGGTTCTACGTTGGTTCTGTCAGTCAATCAGTCAGCTACACTGGGCCGATAACCTGCAGGCCAGTGATTTGAATTCAACCGGTACCCAGATTTTTATTTCATATTCACTTATCATGCAGTATCAGAAATACCAGTCTGTCGAACCATGGCTTTCACGGTCATACTAACAGTAATTGATGACATCTTTGATTTGTGAAGATATCTGATGAAACCTTTTAAAAATTCACTATTGTTCGTTTTCACGTAAAATCCTGTCTAGGAAAACGAAGAAGCACATTTGGTTCATATTTGTGTTAGTTAGATGAAGTCAATCAACAGTAAGCCCACTTGACCTAGATTTTGTACTTTTTGGTGCTTATCAGTAAGATGTATTTGCATTCCCTATGGAAATAATGCCTCTTGTGAGATTTGAACCCGTATTACCCAGTGTTGTAGTCAAAGACATTACCCCTGAGCTATTCGAGCAGCTAATGACCCCCAATGCGGGACTGGATTAGTCATATTGGTTGATCCCTACAGACCAACCAGTCTCATGTCGTCTAGTCCTGAGTGCACAACGAATTCTATTGATCATTTTGCATTCTGGTCACCAGGTTGATAGGCTCATCAGCACTATACACTGAGATGGATTTTAGTTGGTTGGGGGCAATATATAGGAAGCTCTGCTACACCCTGGTTTCGTGGTTGTCAGTACTCGCCATACAGATACCTAAAGGGTGGTACTCATCTCATTCGGATACATTGTAGTGAAGGGTTTCTAAGAAAATGTTTAAAAAAACAAAGGCCATTTCGATGTAATTGAATACAAAACTGTTTCTCTCCATCGTCGACTCATGAATTTGAGTTTTAAGTGAGGCCGTTTATAATACAGTAACCATAAGACTTAAAGAGAACACATGTTTAAGGTGTTCTGAACTGGTTTTGTGACCGTAACTTCCTAGTGTCAATCATTCGCTTTGAAGAGACACAACACAGTGGGAAATGTGAAATGCAGAGTAGGGGTCAGTTAAAATTTCTGCTTACTGCTTGCTATACAATTGTGCATCGCAAAAACTGACAGAAGAACGCAAATGTATACCACTGGTTTCCGATCCAGTGGCTCAAGAGTGATGTACTGGTAGCGGAACACAGAGGTCCGGGACTCGATCCCTGGTGGGGTCATGCATGTACACTGCCAGGGAGTCCCATACTAAGACAAAACAGCTGTTCAGTGCTTCCGGGTCTCCAATATTCCTCCAAATGATGTCAGTCCATGGGGAATACCTACTTGAAACCGATAAATAAGTGTCATATATTTTGTTCCGTTGACAAATTTGAACAATACAAGAACAGAGATATAAAATGAGCTCATTTCATTCTGCAAATGTCTTTGTTATTGCATTGTTCAATAAATAAGTTCATACAAACCTCAAAATTGAGATTATAACACTTCATTGAGAATAGGAATGTCTTTTCATTGAAGAGCTTGAGAAGTAGGAAATTAGCTTTTGTATCAGGTAGCTGAAGGATATGAAGACATGTCCTATGACTAACTTCTGTAGCATGCAGAAGGACCGGAAAGAGAGAGAGTTTGAAAGTGTTTCATCTTGGCAGGGACTGAGTAACATTCTTTACTCTTGATGAAAAATTCATTAACTTTTATTAAGACATAAAAAGAAAGATTTCCAGTTCTTAAGATTTGAAGTTTGGCAAAGCGTCTCACATTCACTAGTAAAACGGCTATTTTCTTAGAATAGAAAGTTGGTTTTGAACTCATAAAGATGAATTGCATTTCAGTTTGTTCTAGTTTATTAGTAATCAAATGCAAAAGTAGACCCAAGTTATTGTGGTCATCACTTCCTAAGTGAACTACAGCATTAGTTTATACTTTAGAACAGACATACATAGGCAGTAGAGAACTTGCCATTACTGCTAAACAATTCAGTTAGATACAGTTCTTATAAACACTTCAGGGTGGTGATCACAGCAAAAAAATTAAAAAAAATGGATGTAATATTATGGTAAGTGGTAGAAAGGTAATGAGAAGAATACGAAATAAAAAAGGGAGTAAAGGTATGTGACTTTACAGTGCAAAGGAAGCCAGAACATTGGTTCATCTGTATCACTGAAATCAGTTTTGATCATACCAAATAGGGTCTCCAAAAACCAGTCTCAGTTGTTTTGACTACCTCGAACATAAGATCAGTATTCCCCTACTCGACAATACTCAACAATCAGGGATTTCACATATTAATGCTGTGTCTTGGGCTGATCATCAACCTCTCTCTATCCTATTCTAGCTCCATTCAACATCACATATTTATAGTAGGCTATAGTTCAGGACATGTACAAGCAACTCAATGCGACAGAGATTCATGACCTCATTGATTGACTTGTGAGGGTTACCATACACTATGCATCTAGTGGCTGCGTTTTCCTTTGATGTTTTTATCATGCACGAAAGATGCATGGGCAACAATGATCAGAAATGTGAGACCATCTCAGACGAACCGACTTCAGTGGTCACGTCTTCCAGGTATGCAACAGAAACAAGCAAAATGCTACGCAACAAAAACCAGTCAACATCCGTAATTCTGAGCAGTACTATAAATGGAACAAACCAGTGAATTTAAGGTGATATTTATGTGCCTGAGAGGAGTTTTCTGAAACCATTAACTCACCAGCCGCTAGTGAAGTAATCAACACCTTCGACCAATTTTTCTCCTTTTCTAGATGGAGCATCAAAACAGACCAGTTTTGAAGAAAAAACTCACACTTCGGAGGTTAAAAAAGCATTTGGAATATCCTCAAAACGTCACTCAAAGTACTGATAACTTTTTGTTCCTTGTTAGTGTCATCGCAGCAAGGTTAATTCTCTTCTATACCTCTAAGTTATTTAAAGAATGTTTTGTGAAAACCCCAGACCATTTTAGGCCAAAGGCCGAAAAAACCTTCACGACAAAACTGTATGAAAATGGAGTGAATTGATATATGACGAACATTACTGGGCATAAATCCCTCTCCGGATTCCCCATCTTTTGAAGACCAAATAACATGTATTATCAGCATCAACATGGTTTACGAATCATTTGTCAGGACATTATGAAAGTATTGGGCCTTTAAACATCGAAAATCTCACTAAACTTAAATTTTAAAAACAAAAATTAACAAGTTATTTGTCCGATTAACAATCTGTTAACACATGATTTGGTAGCAGACATATGCGGTGGTGTCACGTAACTTCAGTCCATTTGTAAAAAGCCATAGATCTAGGTTTTACGCCTAGAGACACTCAAGAGTAAGGTGTACCTGCAACCTAAGGCAACCTAATTTCCTGCCAGAGATTCAGACCAGAATCGCACGATGTCGTAGTCAAAGAGGTTACAACTGAGTTAAGCGGTTTGATTTATGGGTCCCATAGGAGTTACAGACAAGCTTTATGGATAAGCACCAAAGATAGAGGCTTTTTGCTGGTTGCCTTCAACCATCTAACGTCAGTTACAGTTCATCGCAGTAGCGAGTCTCTTAGCTTGATGATCTGATAGAAAATAACCAACTAAATTCCGTCTGTACTTAGGAGTAGACAACATTCAGTCTCTGACTCTCCGTTGACCAATTCATATATTCAGTAGAGTCGTATCTGTAAACCAATAGTAGTCAGTTATATAAATCTTAATAGTTCTGCTAAACTAGCGTAAATCTCATTGACCAACTTTTTATTCTGCAAGAACTTCTTAACGAATCTTGAATATCTTGTTGAGATCATCAGTTTATTTAGAGGGGGTACAGTAGTTTTCATTGCATCTACAGTATCAGTTCAACAGATCCACGCAGATTTTTGAAAAGATACTCAACTGGTCAAGCTCAAGAGTATATTTTGATCTCTACAATGCAGCATAATTCTATACTAAATTTGTATACAAACTGATTTAATATGTAGAACTCATGAACATCAAAACTCTACTATGAAGTGAGTGCAAACAAAATTCTTGAGAGATACGTTTCAGCTGAGACTTACCCAATCCGTATGCAGTCAGGTCCAGTGTTGTTAAGCATCTATTCAAACCGGTTTTAAGTAGTTCTTTCATATCATGTCCAATTTGCTTTTTACGAAATAATCCAAAAGCTAAGGCATTCCCATATTCTTTACAGCATTCACACTTTTCCCGGTGTTGTTGTGGCTCGGAACTACTCATCTGGTCAGTCATCAGATCATCACTCTTCTTATCAGACATGAATTTCCGTTTGCCAATGATTTACAGAACAATCAGCGGTATATGTATTAAACAGTCCACTTTTTTGATAATGCTTTATTGTTACACTATTCTCTTTGGCAGGATAAAGTTTAAGAACATTGAAACCAATCTTTCCGTTGATTGGTTGACATGAGACTGAAATACTATTGGTTTATTAAGTATGAAGATATAAAACATTATTTACCTAAAAATCTGAAAACAAGTTCTAGAAGTACGCATGTATGAATATTGACCTTACATTTTCTCGCACACACATGTGGTTAGAGTGAAATGAATATTAGTATCGATTTGAACTTATGTACTCACTTTGTTAGTTACGATATGCCATAGTCATCTAAACTGTAGGCATGAAGTAACTTAGCAGAAAATTATGTACATTCGGCGATAAATTGATTTGTCGATATATTTTAGCACCTGCTAGTCTATTATTCAGCGTTTCACAGTTGTAAGGCGTTTTATTTTTCCCATATTTTGGGACTAACACCGGTTATTGGACACCGTCCAAATGAAAACTAATCAGTTGGAACCAAGTTTTATCGAACGGTTTATGAAGACTGACACTTTAAGCAGTTAGTGGAAAACTAGAGTAAAAACTTAAGGTGTTACATTGAAGTTTTCTGTTCTGTTTTTCACATTCAATTGCAAGATGTAACCGAACCTTTGAAAAAACTAATGATTAGTAATGATGGATAATGACTGGTAGGAGAATCCGAGACAAGAGTTCCTCCATGTTTAGGAGTCATCATCTGGGTATATCCGATTTTCGCAGAGTGGATAGCTCTCTGACGTTTGAATTATTGGGTTCTAGGTTTGAACGTCAGTAGTAACAACATCAGTTTCTGGGAGGCAGGTATGTCTTCCTGACGAGTCCCAAACAGGATTCCACTACTAGTCACTAGTCATAATTACTGTGAAACTGAAACTACAGACAATGCTGAGGCTTTCTCACATGAGTTTACGCACCAATAGGATCAAATATAAAGCCATTGGATAGATAATTTTATTAAATTCCCAAAGGATGAAATAAGAATAGAAGTACACAATGTAGAGAGTTATACTACGAAATGGAAAGTGAGGATATTATTTCCTACAATAAATTATAAATATATACACATCTCTTGTGTACGAGCTTTCTTAGGAGAAAACTTATCTGCATGTTTCAGTTGGTATGCTAATGATGAGTTAACATCTCCACAACTGCATCTGTTTATTCGCTTGTTAAAATCCTCTCACAGTTTGATTTCCAAATTATGAAAGGAAGACAAATTGATTCGCATATTAGGATGCATCTATCCCCTCGTGCACTGTTTCTGCAGGTCAGCTGCCCATGATGAAAGTCACTGTCGTGATTTAATTCCACATGATAGATTTGAGTATGTCCCACATATTCTCTGTGCTAATGGCTCTTTCCTGTCTCCAGAAACCAAATGTCATGCAGTTTACTAAGCCCAAACCCTAGGTAACAAACAAATGAAATGAAGAAATTCTTCGAGTTATATCATGGGTTCAGTGCATATGAATTCCAGTAAATCACGATGTAAAGCAGTTTACTGACGCATACTGAAATACGTTCTATCCATCAGATTCAAGAAGTAGCAGATAGAGCTGGATACACCACTTCTCTTTTGACCAGATTTCCACACGTATATGATCAATTAGTATTTCAGACTGCATTTATGTTTATCTCAAACTAACTGCAGCAACATAAAGTGTGAATACCTCCTAAAATCACAAAAGTATTTGGTGTTACTGGTTTACGGATCACTATAGTACTTAGTAGTTACGTTGTTCTGATCCATTAACGCCACTCACCAGCCTTTCTTAGCTTTCGAATTCTTCAGACACCGTAAAATGCACGGAAACTGCAGTCAAACAGTTGTACAATTCAAGCGGAATAAAATACAAACGAATCTATGGTATATTCACTTTTTTCGAAACGACTTCAAAAAGGAACGCAGATGTTTCTCCTCAATAGTCTTCTAGTCAAGTGACCTAGAAATGCATCAGTAAACCCATTATTCCGGAAGCAGAAAAGTTGTGCTGAATGCATAAATGTCATTATTCTGAAACTTCACTTGCTTTCGGCACTTTCTATGTGTTACTACTTTCAACTTGTCTTTGCCATGAAATCTCTAGTGTTCTATGTTCTGAGATTTTTAATTATTCACGAAATCTTTGTGGTAGCTAGATGGCTAGTGGATGTTTATGTCTCTTTTGCATGGAAAAATTGGAAGTGTTTCCGGAGATTTACCGTTATCTACAGAGTTTTAAGTCTGCTTTCACTCTATTTTCTCGATTCAGTTCATTCAGATGACCAAACTGACCCATCTTATCCATAGATTCTTCACGCTGTTCGGCCTGGCTCTATAATTGTGTTGTTTTCTCGTTTTGTATGAACAGTATCCAGAATATGGACTATCAAGCAACTAACAAGCTAAGTTTATAGGTCTACATTGTCGCTGTCTGGTCGAATTACTGTCCCTGGCACGGCTTATGATAAATTTGCAGACTGGTTTTATTGGGTGGAATAAAATAGTTTAAATGCTTTCCCATGCATTTTTAATGCAAACAGCTACTCAAAAATCCCTTGTCCTAAGCTTCTAAGATAGAAGTAGCGCCTTTTTTCTTAAAATCTCTTTAAAGTAAGCGGTTTTTCAATAACTGTTGAAGTTCATTGGGGTTTCTAAGCACTTTGGAGTCTCTTTTTTATCTTTCAGCAAAGCGGTTATTGAGCTCTCCTACTAAACTGTCAGTCGTTTTTAGTTTTATCTTGTTTCTTATAGTTAAAAAGTCGAATTTCGCAACTGAATCCAATAAGATTACTATAATCTGCCGCAAACCTACCAGGAAAAAATAGTCCTGCCCAAAATGCTCATTTTCGGACGCCTCGGTACTGTTTACAGATTAATTAGTTTATAACTTGCCAGCGGTGGAGTCCAAAAAGCGAGTTTCGCCTTGTTTCGCAGTCGTCAGCGGGACGTACCCACATTCGTCTAGGTAATATTCTCACCAAGTCTCTTACTTCAGTAGCCTGGTGGATAAATTTCTGCTTCTTAAATGACGGTTGCTGGGTTTGAACCTCAGTAACAACATCATCCCTCACTGGAATGCAAGTACACCCAGATGATGAGTCCCAACCAGAACTAAACGTCAGGCCTTTGTTCTAATGCTAGCCAGCACCAAGCAAGTTATCCAAACAGTTGAAGTTCAATGAGATGGAATAATTTCTCTTTTGAAATGTTGTTCAACTACTTATAGTCTAAAACAGTTGTAGTATTAAGCATGGAAAATATTTATACACTTTGACTGAGTCCACTACCACGGAAAACTGGTCGACGGAAAGAAACATTGAGGGCTGAAATGGAAGAATTGACAAACCTCATTGGAAAGTTTCTTACTAAATAAGTAAACCAATAAAACACTCTGTAAATCTAAAAATCTGGTGGGAACAGAAGTTAGACAGAGATGCAGAATAAACGTCAGTATAACATAATTAAACAGTGGATAAGATAGGTAGAAGTCATCAATGGATTGTAAACTGCAAAGGGAAAAACGGAGATGAGCTGAAAATGGGTAACAATTTATCAGAAGTTGGTAATAATCTACTCTCCTGGGTTTTTTGGTTTAATGTACTTCATGGATGTCGTTTACAGTTTCAAAAGATAATATTTGTCGCTCACTGATTTACTCATTTCAAAATTTGGAAAGATCCAGGCGATTCAAAAATGCTTGAATAGCTTAGAACTAACAAAATGACTGTGATTACGCTTCTCATTGATAGAAGAACACCAAAATCAATAAAACGTCTACTCATGATTATTGAGTCTCGTGGTTCATAATGCGCAACTGCACAAAGCACGTGTTAGCCTCACCCACTAGAATTACCTCAATCTCACTCAATATTCCGTAAAGAAATTAAACAATGGAAAACTGTCAGTCACGAAATCGGTCAGAGTTGACCTTAACAGTAGCTGAGTGAGATTCAACCCACTAACAGTCATTTCAAGAGTTCTCATTTGTGAATCAATACTGTATGTGGTTGCAGCATTTCTGAATGCATTTTCAGATTTGATGCTTGAGGAGACTAGTGGAGTGTAGATGTGTTTAAGTGTTTGAGACTTGAGCAGCTGTTTTTTCTCATCAAGTTGTGTTTTCTGTATCTGACAGCTCTGGTCAAACTTTATCTGTGATTACAAGTGGTGCTACGAAGGATTCCAGATTATCAAACTCAACACAGAACACTGTTATTTTTCTTTCGCTTGAAAATCAATAAAGAGTATTAAAATTTGGTATCGGTCAGTGTCATCCTATAATTCTCATTACATGAAGTATTTCAAAGACATATTTAAAGGATCAAAACAAATTGAAAGGTAGGAATTTGAAGAAATATCTTCCTTGGGAAATCTTCGGTGGTCCAAGGATTGAGCAGGCCACCTATGATATTATCTGCGAAAATATTGAACAAATTATATTGCAGATAGAAAAACGTCATTATAGGCTGCACATTTTTCTCCGTTAGTTTGTAATCATCGTTGCCTTTTGTGTTAAACTCTTCTTTGTTGGGTGTATGAATGCTAAAAGTACTAGGGATATTAACTGAAGCAACTCACAGTAAGACATGCAAAACAACAGGAAAAATACGTTCATTTCCAACATTAGAGCGAAGAAACTGAATATTAGTGATCTCAGATGAGATAGTTAGGTATTGACTGTCTATTCGTTGACGTAAATATAGTGTTCGAATCCGCACTGAGCTATCCTGTAAAAACAGAAAGTGCATTTTGACACACAAAATTGACTAAGGCTATCAGATACAGAAAACACAACTTGATGAGAAAAAACAGCTGCTCAAGTCTCAAACACTTAAACACATCTACACTCCACTAGTCTCCTCAAGCATCAAATCTGAAAATGCATTCAGAAATGCTGCAACCACATACAGTATTGATTCACAAATGAGAACTCTTGAAATGACTGTT